TAAAATCACAGGCTTGACAGTTACATTAAAGGCATTTGCCTTACCTTCTATCAATAGTACTCTGACATTTTTTCATTGAATAAGATACATGTAATATGTATAGTTTAGAAAGCATATATTGATGTATGATTTGTGCTTGATTGGTACATGAAATAGCTTTGTTAAAACAGAATATTTCTTGTAATTTCTGTAGAGATTGGATCTCAAATTCCCAGAGTCGGGAATTAATCTCTCTATTATAGTTTAATATAATATAAGATGTTTCTGTGAGGAAAACAAATTTGATAATAACCAAATGTTATTATGTGCCATTTCTGCCTCCATCCCTCCATTTGTATTCAGTAAGTTAGTCCTACATTAAGATTCTATTTTACAACAAAGATCCCTTTATTGGAAACCACAGCTTTAATGAAAGAAGCCAATAGTTGAAGGTCTAAACTAGTGGTTCTCAACTAGATGGAAGTTCAGGGGGCAGGGGTGGGCAGTTTTGCTTCTCAGAGACCTTTTGTCCTGTATGGAGAGTTCCTGTTGCCATAACTGGAGGTGGGGGACATTCCTCCAGGTATCTACAGGCAGTAGCAGGGAAGCTGGATGCTACAGAACACAGGACAGCCCTCTCCCCCAAATAAAGATTGATTCAGCCCAAAATGTCAATAATGATGAAGTGAGAAACACTGCTTTAAACTGATGTTACAATATATTTGCCTGTTTAATTAGAATTGTACCTGTCTTAATTTATTAATAAAGCAAATAGGGACACTAGCATGTTAATCTGTCAAAACCAGTCAAATAAATATGAAAGTAATTTCTACAGATAACTTTCTCATTTCTACCTCCTTCCTCCAAAACAATTCACCCGCACAAACAAATTTCTCTAAAATTTCTGCAGCACTGTAATGTAGTTCTTTTGTCATAAGCTTGGAGCCAATTGTAATAGGGATTAACCCTTTTACGGCACTGAATAGAGCTCCAGAGCTCAAAAACATGCTTTTAAGGATAATGACGCTATTAAAGTATATGTGCAATAAAAAATAATTAACCATGCTAAATTACAGCATGTGAAACTGGCTTAAATCTCATCCACTTTCCTATAATATTTGTTGTTCTTGAAATGTGGTAGCATATTTTAAGCTACCTCAAATTAAATGTCTATATGTCAGTAATACAAAAAGAATGATTACTCTGAACTTGATAGTCCTTAAGAATTAGTCAATATGGAAAAAGTATGTTTCACCAATGTGGCTGAAATTATTACATTTTGTTACTTCAGTTAAAAATGAAATGTGTTCACCTAACTTCAGAATTTTACCAGTTTGTTTCAGTGCCTCCTAAAATTATTTGCTATACAAAATGCATAATAATAACTGTCTTGTATTTTATGATCACTTACCTGAGATTCTATGTCAGAATTACTTGGAAAGAGATTTTTCTTATGTTGCACTTTTCCTGTTGTATTTTCACTGAATTCTCCTACATAGTCTTTCTAGTTCTAGTGATCTTTATACTTAGTAAAAACTCCTCATTTAAAAAATGCTTAATTTACACACTACTTCTCAAGTGTAACACAATTTTGTGTTTTATTTTATNCACATTGTACTACACAGAAGTGCACACACTTGTGCACATACATTATTTCTGTATTTTATATTTAGCCTTCTTTGAGGAATGACATTATAGGCATTCTATATTTGCAAGTGTCCTATCTCTAAGCTTCAAAACCATGAGTAATTTAGCCAACTATTATTATAGGGAGAAAACTGCAGGGGAATATTCGTAAGCTAAGTTCAAGTCAGACTTGGCAATTCAAAGATAAAATCTCTTCTGTGAAAAGTATGAACAAAATCACTTGTGTTGACAGGTACTTTGGGTCTCACTGGCACTTCCTATCAAAGACTGAGACATCTCCAGAAATCAGGATGCTAATTCATCACCAATCACAGTAGTCCTTGTGGCCACTTTATCTCAGGTGTTGTAGGGTGCTGGTTATTGATATTCATTCTCCCAACAAGTTCAGACCTTTAAGTTTTTCTGTCAGAGGAACCTAGGAGTCAGTATACTCCTACCAGAAAAGGGAAATAAATGATAATAGCAAACTTGAAAGTTATTTCTAAAATCATGACTGTGGCTTGTAATACCATCCAACTGATTGTCATTCACTCTGCCCTAAGTCTATAGACCAGTGCTTCTGTATCTAACTGCTGCCTTCCTTCTTGTCACATGTCTTACTTCCCTTAATGTTTGCTATGCTCTAAAGAGTGCTCTCCTGGCTAATTTTGAATACCAAGCATCATTAAAAATCCAATCCATAAATTTTCAGGTACTTTAAAAAATAACTCTCCACTTTGTGGTCATCAAAAGTAAGGGAAAAAGCGTCTCATAGTAGAAATCACAGAGCTCAAAAAAATTCTTCATTTCTCTTGAAATAGAAGGGAGGAATGTTTTCTCCTGTAGTTTCATCCACAAATTCTTATAAAAATGTTTGCTTTGTGTTTGTGTCTCTTCACAGAAGAGAGTGCCATCCAAGCATAAATCCATGTCTCCTATAAATCAGATAACATATGACAGCCTTTAGAGTATACAGTAGAAATAAGACATCTCAAAGTTCCATTGTTATCAATTCCTCCCTGATTTTCAATGATACTAATTTGATAACCAAAAAGGAAAGATACTAATTTGATAACCAAAAAGGAAAGATGCAAATGAGAAATCATCTTATTAGATGCCTATTCAATGCCAGGCATTGCTCCTGTGGATACAAAGATTAAAAATAATATGGCCCCTTCCCTGTTCTGACTGCACTTTCATCGTTTTAATACACTATGTTCTTGAAATTCCTTTAGCTTTAAAATCTATGATAAAATCTGGTGTGTGTGTGTGTGTGTGTGTGTGTGTGTGTGTGTGTGTGTATAAACACATTAAAGTTCTAGAGAGAAGGGTAAAGAAAATGGTCTGTAAGAAAGAGCAAAGCATTCAATTTTGGGGAAAGGAATTTTCTTATTTCCCTGCATACCTGGCAAAGGACTCTGTAAACTGTTTTCACCCCTTGACCAACCTAAGGAGCACTGTCAGTTATCAAAAGATGTTGTGCTTTTTGATGATAGGAGGTAATTAGGTGTGCATGTTCTGCCATATTTTAAAGTATAGATCCAGACCATCTTAGACTTATTGCATATTCAAGTGCCTTGCTATATATTGGTGAAAAAAAACAAAACATTAAGGCATAAAATGGTTTCCTTGGCTTGTCATTACTGGCCTGGGTAGTGAATGAACAGATCTTAAAATTCCTGATAGAAGTTGCATATTTAGGAGCCAAAGTATTGTGGAAGGCAAATACTGTGCTGTTACATAAAGCAGTGCCTTAACTCTAATTAGTTTGCATGCCTGAAACCATTTACCTAAATCCTCACAATTTTTATTTTAACAAGGCTGAAGAGACCATTTGTTCATTTAGTCTTAAGCTCTTCAATGGTTTGAAGTTAAAAGGAATTAAAATTCCAGTATGAGAAACACTAAACAATTTAAAAATTATTGAGGTAATTTTTCATTGTAACTTGAACACATAATAAACAACTTTAGTAAATCTCATCCCAAATAGCAAATGAAGAACATATTCTCATGGCTTTTACTTGGTATTCTTTATTTTACAATGTTAAAAATGCTAGAAACTAATTGTTATGTGGCATATTTATGTGAAATTTTTATTCTTTGTAATGTTTTTGTTCATGGGGGCAAAATTGCTCTAAAGGGAAATAGCTTTCTCAATTGACAGAATTTTAAGTCAGAAATTAAATTTTATTTATTTATTTATCTATGTATCTATCTATCTATGTATTTATTACTAAGGCTAGTGATTTTTATTCCTATATAAAAGTTATGAATGCATTATGATCGATGGTATTCATCTTGTCCGGTTTCTTTACAAGTCATAAAATGGTCTTATTTATGTGTTGGAAATTGCCTGAACTTTGCATTTTAGCACCACCTGGTGGAAAAAATAGCATTAGTTTTTTGGGGTTTTTTAAGTTTAAAAATGAATTTCGCCCTTTCACAGTCTATATCCAGTATTAATATCTTAATAGATATTTTGCTGTAAAAGTTTTTAATTTTAAAGATCCATGTAGAGTAAAGTGAAGGTAAAAACAATCTAAGATGTTTCCTAAGTACTATTGCCAAGTTAAATGCCTGAGGATTTCTAAACTTCATGCATATATACAGATTTAAATATTATGTTACATACATATACAAAAATATGGGTTTGGGGATAACTTAATTTTTTATCACTTATATTTTTTTCTCAATAAAAAAATTAAATGGCCTAGGAAGTTTTCTGTACCTTAGTAGCTAACTATGGTGTAAATTAGATTGTCTACCAAAAATGCAAGGTAATCCTTTTATAAACACTCTATGAAGAATTTTCATACTACAAATTCTTATGATGTTAATATTTTATGTATAATAAAATTAAAACTAGTATTTTAGTCATTACTATTAAAAGGTCTATTTTTATGCATATTTTCCCACTTCTAAGTACAATTCAGTTCTTTTATATGTATTAATTCTTAGTTTCTAATAGTTGTAAAGATAAATTTGGGAATATTTGTAAATATAGTTAGGCAGTTTTGAGAACTTTAAACATGTTAATCTTTGCATAGTCCCATGAAATAGTGATATTTTTCCTATTATATGTGGTTAAAGAGAAAATAACCGCTTAGATTCCACTACATTCCTTTGAGATATATATGCACTTACTTATTCCTTGATATAATTGGGAGTATCTGTAAATTTGAATTGTGTGGCATCCAAAGCTTAGTAGCTAAATAAAAGCTGTTGATATTCAAGTAGGAAAAATGTTATAGTTTCATACTTCTTGTATGTCATGTAAGATAAATTATAATAGATAACCTTTATTAACATATGCATCTTGAACTGAAGTTATTTACATTCTTACATCAGAAAAACACTTAAAATCTTCTCTGTCTCTTTTTTCCTTTTTTCTCCAGGCCTTGGATGGTATACTGTAAATTCGGCATATGGAGATACCATTCTCATGCCTTGCCGACTCGACGTACCTCAGAATCTCATGTTTGGCAAATGGAAATATGTAAGTGTGACCTACCTTGGACTTGGTTAACTGCCTCTAGTTTTTGAAATAAAATTTCTTCTGAGAGTAAATGCAAATTTTAAATTAACATAACAGCGATATTCAACTGTAGGCAGAAATGTAGGAAGGTAGAATTAATGTGTTGAATATGTTAAAAGAATAATTCTAAGTCTTATATTACAAATGCTATTTTAAAATAAAGCCAATAAACACATAATTCTTAGATCATATTAATGTCAAAAATACAGCCTTAAATATTAGAGCCAGAGAAAAAGACAGAGTTCAAGAATAAAACCAGTGGAGTATAGATACTACAGAGCTTAGTGGAGGATGCCAGCCTTCCTTCACATACTCATGTGCTGTTTGGTATGGCTGTGTAAGAGTCATCAGCATTAGAAACTTGTTTCTAGTATTTAGTCTTAAAACTGTGTTGATGCAGATCGGTCCTTTTTACATTAACATTGTTGATTTTATTTATTTCGAATTTATGGCAGATAGCAAAATCATATTTTCTTGGGTATCAAGGTACATATGGGTCTGGAAATTGAAAATAGATATCTGGGTTGGTGAATGTGGAGTAGCTAGATACCTTGGACTGATAAAATATCTCAATTTAATTATCAAAACCAACTAAAGGTATCAGTGTATCAGTTTCCCAGTGCTGGATCATGTGAGACTCAGGGTAGTTTGTAAGCTTAAAGTAGACATATGTTTCCTTGAACATACTGGTAAATTTTCCCTAGCTCCTTGAAATGTTAAAAGGCATTTGAATAGGAAAAGAGTTTGATGGTCAAATAAATTTTGAAAAGTTTTTTATTGCGACACTGCTCAGAGCCTTTTGTATACTAAGATGTATTATGAATTGTCTGAGTTTCATTCATTTCTTAGATTTATTTAACTGCCACTTCTCCTCTCAAATATCTGTAAAAACACATTCTGCAGAGCACACTTTGGGAAATACACTTAAGGTTGCACTCAAAGAGTGATATAACACAATCTATTAAAACATGGGTTCTAAAGTCAGATCACCATTTTCTACCAGATACTTGCTGTGGAATTCTGGACAAGTGAATGAATCCCCGTTTTCCCATCTATAAAATGAGATAATAAGAATAATTTTCCTATAGTGTTTTGAGAGTTACATGGAGTAATTCATATCTGAATACTTACCTACTGCTTGGAATGTGGTAATTGCATGAAAAATGTAAACTGTTATGACTCTGGGGCTCTAAGCACACTGCTTGTATGCGGGGCACGTGTGAGGAGCGTAAGTGGGTGAGGCGCCCAGCACTGCTCAGTACTTCCCTCCTGTTATCCAGCTCATGGATAATTTTGAACTATTACTGATTCCCTGTAAAAGTGGAAATATGAAGTCCCCCTATAAGGGACAAAGTCAGTTCACACCTCTGAAATCCCAAAGGTCAGGGGCCTACCACATAAATTACCTGTTGAGTCAAAGTTACTGCCAAAATAAATAGAACACAAATGGTTAAATATTCTGTGATCATAAACATTTCTGACAACAGCCCAGGGTATAATTTTCACAGAAACTGAACTGGTCATGGAAACAAACAATAATGGCAATTTTCAAGTTGCTAGTTAAGCAAAAAGCTTCAGCGATAAACTGATGAGATAGATACATTTAAAGTACCATGTGTTCTAAAAACAGTGTTGACTGGCAAATAGTGTACAAGCTCTAATTTAATGTAGTGTGAAAGCCGAATGGCAGGTTTGGAAAGAGTCAAAGGAGCAAACAGAGAGAAAGGTGGATTAGTTTCTCCCCTACTGCAGGGTAAGCTCCCTGTGAATGGAGATCAGAGTTCCCCAGGCAGCCCTCCAGACCTGCTCTCATCCCCATCTCACCAGCATCTGCCTCAGTGCCTGGGACAGAAGATGTGTCTACTGGCTATTGAGAGTGGTACACGGTATTCAGAATGGAGCCAGTCTGTGGGGTGCCAGTCTTGGCTCTACTGAGAGGCACTTGTCGGACCCTTCAACAAGTTATTTAACCAATCTCTGTCTCCATTGTCTAATCTGCAAGTGGAGCTAATATTATAACTCTGACAGAGTTGTTAGGGGTATTAAGTCAATTAATGCATGGAAAGCCCAAAGAAAGTACCTGGTGTATAGTTAAGTGCTCAAAATTTAATAACTTATTTATTGCATAAGAGAGTGAATGTGGAAATTTAAGGTACTGGTTGAGCAACTTTCTCTTAATGAAGGAATGATTTAGGACAAGGATTTGCATTGTAAACCTGTGACAAAATTAAAATATTTACAGAGAATATTATTGATGCTCTCAGTTATTCAACCAACTCAAACTTTTGGACACAAAGATGAGCTTAGCAATTGCCTTAGCTTGGACTGCCATAACAAAATACCACAGACTGGGTGGCTTAAACAACTGCTATTTGTTTGTCATAGTTCTAGAGAATGGAAAGTCCAAGATCAAGGTGCTGGTAGATTCTGCTCTTGGTGAGGGTCCCCCTCATGATTTGCAGACAACTGCCATTTTGCTCTGTGCTCATAGGACCGAGCTCTTCCTTGTGCTGTCATGGAGAGAGAGCTCTTAGGTGTCTTCCTCTCACAAGAGCACTAATCCCATCACGAGGGCACCATCCCCTTGACCTCATCTATTACCTCTCAAAGGCCCCACCTCCAAATACCAAGCTATGAGGGGTTAGAACTTTGACTTAACAAATTTTGTGAGAACACCAATATTTAGTCCATAGCAGTAATAACTGTTAACAATTTAAAAAATGTAACTCCACATAGCACCTTGAAATTTGCCATTCATTTAAAAATGTTTTAATCATGTTTCATTTTCTCACAGGCCTTGTGAGGTAAGTAGAAGAGGGATTGGTCCCTATTTTAAATAGCTTATTAGGTAAGAGAATGATTGTGGGAACAGAGAAAGAAATGAATTATATGTCTCAGCGCTATTGGCATAATTGTATATGCCAGATTTTATTTTATTTTTATGGTAAGTTTTTATATGAAAGTCCTTTGAGCTAAGCCATATGACTCAGCAAAACTGCAGATTTTGGTGATTAATCGGATTCTACTGCTTAATGGACATGATTGTTTCACAAGGGCAAATATTGTTCCTCCATGAAGACTCATTAAACTTTGTTATGTGCAAAGGTCAGCTGTGTCAGTTTTGGCTGAAACTGAAAGGTGTGGACATTTAAAGTATGTGGGTTAAAGTAATGAATATGGAAAAGATAATTGCCCAGGATTTCTAAACGAGTGTTTGCAGCTCAAGTGTATACTTGCTGTGGTGATTATTGAGTATCATTTGTACATTTATATGCTTCTTTTCATCTGATTTTTTCTTTTAGATTAGACATAAGGCCAACTCTTGTCAGTTTTAAAACAGTCACTATTTCTGCCTTCCAGATGTAAGAGAAGCTCAGATTCCTAGAGCTGTGTCCTTTCATTTTCACATATTTAAACTAATACTTGTAGAAGAATTTATAGCTTCTTCTCTTATGAAGAGTAATTTTCTGTACAAAGATTTATGTGAAGCTCATATTCAAAATTATTCTTCTTGAACAGAACTATAAATATTGGTAGAAGAATATGGTCATGGAAATTTTATTTTTCTGGATGTAATCCTGGAACAACTGAATATGCTTGTTTTTAAAATGTGTTGTTATTTTAATTTTAGGAAAAGCCCGATGGCTCCCCAGTATTTATTGCCTTCAGGTCCTCTACAAAAAAAAGTGTGCAGTACGATGATGTACCAGAATACAAAGACAGATTGAGCCTCTCAGAAAACTACACATTGTCTATCAGTAATGCAAGGATCGGTGATGAAAAGAGATTTGTGTGCATGCTAGTCACGGAGGACAACGTGTTTGAAGCACCTACAGTAGTCAAGGTGTTCAGTAAGTAGTCTGACGTATACATGCTAAGTGGGATTAATGTCTGGTACTAGAACATGTTCTTTAGGAAGAAGACTCAACTCTCTGTAGTGTCTCCACAACTGGCATCTATGTAAGAGGACTTCTTGCGATCTTCATTCTGCTCATGCATGCTGTCAGCAAGGAAAACAAAAAAGCTGAAATTCAAATAGGAGTTTTGCAGTGAGCAACTTAAAGTTTATTCTCTCTTGTTTTGTTGGGTAAAATTTCCTTTGATATATGAAGTACTGCTAAGTGGAAACTGGCACATAATCTGTAACTTTCACTGACATGTACAAATAAATGATCTGTGTACATATGACATGTGTATATATATGCATACATACATACATCATGCATATCATGTGTACATATATATGTGTTAGATTGAGCTGTATAACACTGACATTTTGATATATAAAAACAATAAAATACAGACAAATTCAAACTATCTTATGACTCAGAGATATACACTTCTGATGTATGTGTGTATTTATGTATACTACACACACATCCTGACTTTTAATGCTTGTTGATTTATTTCTTCAGTGTCCAGTTAGTTTAGAAAATTGCCCTAAAATAGAGACGTTCTCCACACCCTGAATGTGTATGCGGACTACACCAAGGGGGAAGAGTAGGGTAGGGTCAGTAGAAGAAACTTGGGGTCGTTACTGCAGTCATTATGGTGAAGTTACTTTGCATTATGATAATACACAGTTAATGTTCTGTGCAAATAGCTATACAAATGAATGATTTGAGAAGTTCTAATTAAAGCATTTTATCTTTTAATATTTGAATAAAGAGTTTCACCTCTATAACATCATAATATTTTAGAAATTAGAGGGAGAAAAATGGGTCTCAAAAGTTTTTCACAACACCAGTCTTTTTTAATTTCGGTGGAAGGTCTCAACTTTTTAATATTTTTGCTCTACTTTCTGATAACTTGACAGTACCTAGAAATTATTCAAATAAACAGGGAAGAAGAAAACCCAGAAAGCCTTGCTACTACCGCAAGTAACCATGAATTTTTCCTATTTCTCGTGTAATAGTCTAGGCAACTAATTAGGAACTGTCCCTTTATTATTTATGTGGATTTCAAAGCTCCTATGAGCTCATGACACAGATTCAAAGAGTACTCATACCATAGAAGGAAACCTTTGTTCTCCAGAAGAACCTTGGAAAAGCATATTACATGTTTCAGTTGATTACTTTTCAGCTTTTCTTAAGGCATTTTCCAGAAACTATCCATCCTTTTCAATCATTTTATGTATCAAACCAAATGCCAACTGTTTGTTGGTCATGCCCGATTCCATTAAACGCTTCAAATAATCTGCATCTTGCATTTGCCAATGTTTCATCTATTTTTTTTCTCTTTCTTTTATTTCACTTTGATGTTAATAGGAAAATGGATGGTACCCTGCTAGGGACACTTTTCCTAAAGAGAACAACAAAATTATTTTAATTAGGCCATGAAGCCATAAATATAAGTATAGAACAAAAATACCCCAGTAGGTACAGAGATAAAGTCACAACACTCTGAAGGTTATGTGTATTGCGGGTCATTATCAGGTATCTTTTTCACTATGTTAGAATTACCAAATATCAAGAGTTTACAAGGAAGTAGAGAAAATCCAGTTTCTTCCATTCAGAAGAATCATTTGTGACAGTTTTCAGAATACACTTTTTAAAAAATTGCCATACAGTAATCTAAAAAAAATTTACTTGGTCTAAATCAATAAAATTTGTAAGCTGTTTTAGAATACAGAGTATTTCTATGATAGTGAAAACAAACTCACACCCCACATACCGCCAGCAGCCCCCTGCCCCCTTCTCTTTTGAATGTTTTTGACAACAAAGTGATTCTCAGAAACAGAATTTGCATTCCAGGCTCTAGGCCAGGGAGAATTTAAATAGACAAGTTACACACTCTGGAAAATGGTGTTTTATACTGAAACCGTGGGACCCTCCAAGTCCAATTAAATGAACAGCACAGATCATGATAAAGAAAGTGTTTGCAAGAGCATATAGGGCTTTGCTTTTTTAAAAATAATGAATTTACTTTGGGTCACATTTGGTGAAGCAAACAGCAGCTGTGACAGGCAGGCTTTCATGCCATGCATGTATATATTACAGTCACTTTAGAGTTACTAGGCTCATCAATCAGTCCTCTGTTTCTTTCTGTCTCATCCCTTAGCAACATGCCCTGTGTACCACAGAATCAAGGGTGGTTAACTTGAGCTCATCCCAGATCAGCTGGCTACAGAGGGCTGTCTTGACGGGCAAAGTCAAACTGTTTTTATTCAAACTGGATGCCATGACTGATGACTTTATTACCTCTGATGTAGGATTGTTTTAGTTTGAAGCTATTCCTCAAATGCAAGAAATCATGCCCATAGAGCAGAGCAGATCCAAATCAGTCACGTGCTTTATCACCACTAATGCAGCTTTTTGTTTTGTTTTTTGAAGTTGAATGTCATCGGAATCAAATTGTGTTTGTATTTAATGCACATTTGAAGTTAATAAAACCGTTCAAAATCCTTAAAATTCCCAAAGATTCATTCCAGTGATTGTGCGAAAGTCTTAGAGGTTAAGTGGGTACCCAGATTGCCATACGGCTGCCGGTGGTGTAATGGAAAAATCACTGAAATGGTCCTCAGGAGACTTGGCTTTCTTAGATCTGCTGCTAATTTCTGACCTTGGGCAAGTCACTTCATCAGTCTGGGCCTATGATTCCCTCCCCATCAGAAAAATGAGTGCATTGCATTAGATGGCAATTGTTCCACTGTGTTTCTAGAATCCTCTTGAGGGGCTGATGAAGAAGCTGATGAGGGTGAGGAGTGTCTTCTGCTAGATTACCTGGAATTCTACCTACTCAATATCTTAAAGTGGTTTCACGGTAATTTGTTCAGGACAAAAAAAGGAGGGAGAAGGGCTCCAGCTCTAATAAAGCATTTGAAAACCACAATCCAGGTTAATCTATAAACTCTCTTCTGCGCTGGTGTTGTTAAAAGAAAGACTGTCCCCATGACACGGTCTGGTGCACAGCCGGGCCAGCTCTTCCCTTGGTGGTAGGCTGTGCTGGTGGGCATCATGCAATCATTTTAGAGCTTTCGCTTGGATACTGTTCTTATCAGAACTGGGCATCCCTCCTTCCATCCTCCCCAGGAAAGTAATCAACCTGGAAGTAATTTTTTTTTAATGAAGGAAGCAGAAAATAACCTATTCACGAATGAGACCTACACTGTATGTTTCACTTTAATTCTTTAAATATGAAAAAAGGCCTTTCCCATCTCTGGAGGAAAATAAACTATGATTCCAGGCTCACAATGCTTTTCTTAAAGTATATGAGGATTTATGAGAGGTAATTGCTGACAAAGTACTGAGGAAAGCTCTCAAGTCAGTGTAACCAGTCCAACTGCTTTTCCTGCTCTCCTCCCATAGCAAACTGAGCTGTCCTGTGTGTGGATTTTGATAATAACACTAGTATTTATGAGTGATACAGAGCAATTTTGCACTCATCACTCCATCCTCACCTGGCTGTGAGACCCCTGACAAAGTATTTTAATAAAGCAAATAAATTTATAGCATGACTTTCCCTTTCAATTCTCTATTCGGTCTTGAATTCTTGAATCCTATTAAGACATAACTCATGTAAAGTCTTTTTTAAACACTTCCTAATCAATATGCAATTTTGCTAAAATAGTATGTGCCCTCTTTTATGGTCCTCCAACTAATACTCATCGATTGTTACAAGCTAATATAAGGAAAAATTACATACAAAAAATGTAGTTAATATAGAGAGTTTGAAGCAAAACTTTTAGGAGAAAATAACTCCAAGAACATAACTCCAAGAACGCAATAGGTATTATCATTACTTCCACAGTACTCACTGTGACTCTATCTTCCAAATAGAAAGATGAATAACTTCAAGCATCCTTTCAATAGGCTTCCCTGGGGTTGCTACAGTTTCATTCACTTGAAATAAGAATAAATTTTATAAAATATTTATGGAAGTTTATCTTGCATCTACCTACCACTTCAGCATTTTATTGAAAATAATAATAGTTATTATAATAAGGGAGAAATGTTGGATTCACATATAAATCAAGTATAAAAATCAAACGAATATTCATATTTGACCTGATTGTTTATAGTTCATAATGCGTGATCAAAACGGAAAGTTTCTGTGATGACTGCCCTTGCACTGTTCACCATGTAAGAACTTATTCACTATGTAAGAATTTGTTCACCATGTAAGAACGTGTTCGTTATGCTTCAGAAGATTGGAGACTGCTGAGAATTAGGCTTGGGGTTGATTAATGATTGTGCATTGAGTCCCCTATACAGAATTTTATTGTTGTTAATAACCATTTGATCAATAAATATGAGAGATGCCCTCTCAAAAAAAAGACAAACTCAAGAAGAGAAAATGTTCTCAATACATAGTCCTTACAATTCTTACAAGTCAATAATAATCATTTGAATAATCCAACTAAAAGTGGGCACAGTATATCAATAGACACTTGTTATCAAATGGGGAGATGGTCATCATTTATCAGCACAGAAATGCAAATTAAAACCACAATGAGATATAAAAAAAATATATTTATGGAAGCAAAGTACACATAGCCATGGGTAAAGGACCATCAGTCTTAATGCATCAAGTGTTTATGATTTGATGTTCATGGATAAAACACCACAGGGTTTACAAAGCAAAGTACAGGGATATATTGTACATAAGAGGTACACAACTATTTTGGTATATGATTTTGGTGAACTAGAAAGTAGCGCAATTTTGCTAAACTACCCAACCACATTTTGTATTAAAAGCCTCAGGTTTTTCAAAGGATTTTTCAAATCTCTCCAAATAGCAAGAATATATTCTACTTAAGGAGAAACAACAAACCATTTGTTCTTTTCTTCTTGTTAGTTCTGACTCTTGATTGGCTGCATAATTTAATATCTCACCTCTTTTGAGCTTTCAGAGAGGTATAAATAGCTGATTTTAGTTCCCAGAGAACTCTAGCTTATTTAAGCACCCAGAATTTTCAATTTGCTTAAATTTTTTGGATGCAGTCCTTTCTCAAATTTATTAGACATTTGCCTTAAAAACGAATCCCAAAGAGAATTTAATGTTTTAGTATGTTGTAATTATGAACATTAATGACATTATATTACCATATGCTTCCCAAAAATTACTATTTATTTTGAGTTTTTTATCAAATTTTTGCAATTCTTTGGTCACATTCCTAATGAACAGGCAGGCAGGAGTCACTTCTTTGTGTTAATGTAATTCTGTATGTCTTGCCATTCTTCTATATTTCTTTTTTCTATTTTTCTTTCTTATATTTTGTTTCCAGTCTGTGTATTTGAAAATAGATAATCACTTTTGTGAAAATTGTATTGGAGAATTATATTCCTAGAATTAGTAGTAAATAGGTCTTCTTATAATTAAAGTGGATGAGTTCGACACATAGGCAGATTTACTATTATTATTCATTATTCTAATTTCTAATAAAAGCAATCACAGAGGCGAGATTAGCTCTCAATATTAACCTGAGGAAGTTTACATTTTTTTGCATACAGTCTTGGTGATATCCACTTTACTGCTCCAAAGACTTTTGTCTTCACTTTATTTCCTATAATGATCTGGGCAGGTAACATGTCTGACAATTGAACTCCAAACTGAGAAATAATTATACAAAAGCCAATTTAGTCTAGTTTGGCAATAAAAATTAAAAATATTGTGGATGGTAAACCATAAGACTATGAAAGAAAGAATAGCTGGTTGTTTTTATTTGTGTGTTTATTTGAAAATAGAATGTCTGCTCCATGAAACTCACAAAAATCAATAACAAAGAGGCAATATCCATTTTCTGTAGAGTTAAATTTTCAGTAGAGCTAATTAAAAAGAAAAATTAGAATAAAATATTCATAAAAATCCATTAATGACAGATAACTAACGTTTGAGATACATAGGAAACCTGGGTTTCTGCAGCCCTCAACTACTTGGTATTTCTCATGATTTTAGAGCAGTGATTCTTAAACTTCATCCTACCCAAGAATCACCTAGGAAACTTGTTTAAAACATTTATAGGTTTTATAGGATTTTCCCTGGAGATTCAGATTTAGTAGTCTAATAAGCAGGTCTCAGAAATATGCACTTTAAATAAGTGCCTCTGTGATTAGGATTCATGTGGATTCAGGTTTTCACCTACAGAGCTGGCAGTTAATAATAAGTAGAAAGGGCACGTGGTAATCAATTGCAGATACAGTAACCTCTGTTTCACTATCAAATCCATATTTCCTGGATGTTGCTTAAACATCCAGAAAACATGAATATTTTATTCCAAGGAGTAATAAGTTTTAAAAATAATATTTAATATAATAAAGCCAATATGTGGAGAGGGTGGGCTAATCAGATTTCATAATTACAGATTATATGGCAGCTATATTCTTTATTCTGTGGCTTGTTTTTCTGCTTTAAATAAGTGAATTATTTTTCTATAATCCAGATCACAAAAGTTCTTTTGTTCTTCCATGTGTACTTAAAAGCTTTTTCTCCTTAACTTTAGAGCAACCATCCAAACCTGAAATTGTAAGCAAAGCACCATTTCTGGAAACAGAGCAGTTAACAAAGGTAAGAACTTTTTTTGATTAATTGTCTTTACTTAGCCTAGTGTTAAATGCCCTCTTCTGGACTCAGATGCTATGACAAATAAGTAGACTGCTCTCGTGGACTGGACAGTGTCACAGGGGGCCAATCAGAGAGTCTGCATGATAGAGTAGGGACACAGAAGTTGTGGTCATTCTGGAGAGAGGAGAAAGAGATGAGATTTAAAAACAAAAACAAAACTAAGAAACAAACAAAAAGCACAAGTCTTCTTACTTGAATGGGCTAAATGTTTTATGGAGTTATTAAGGGTGAGTAGATTTCATTCATATAACAATTAGAGAAAGCTTTCCAACAATATGAAATATGCTGTGAAGGAGAATGACATTTTGGGGGGCACATTAAGTTATTTGCACTGCTGGAATTTTGGATGCTAAGACAGTGGGCTAGAGAATCCAGTGAAATGATAAATCTGGAGAGGTAAAGAGAGGCTAGATTATGACAAGCCATATCCCATGTAGGGAGTTTGGACTATACTGACAAGTTCAATTACTGAAAGTTGAAGTAAAGGTGTGAGAAGATCAGATCTGAACAATCACATTAGCAGAGGTATGAAGGGAGGTTGTTTTTAAGGGGGGACAAAACTAGGCTTATGTATTTGGGCACATCAGCTGACCAATAATCCTATTTTCATATTGACAACCACCAATGAAACCAAGGTAGTAATATTTCCTCTTTATTTTGCAGTTGGGCGACTGCATTTCAAAAGACAGTTATCCAGATGGCAACATCACTTGGTACAGGAATGGAAAAGTGCTGCAGCCCTTTGAAGGAGGTGTGTATGAAGTGGGTGGTGACTTCAAACGACACATTTGACTTTCTCTTCTCTAGGGATTCCTTAGACTATCCTGCATCTACATGTGTTACCCTCTTTTGAGCTATGACCCTAAGCTTTGTTACTTTAAGTATCCATTAAATTATGAAGTGATTTTTAAAATGCCTTTTTAGCCCTTGTGCAGAAGAATTGAGAGCAGAGAAAAATTATTTCTGTATATGGCAAGTTCTAGAAGTTAATTAAAGTGAGTGGGAGATAGAATTCCAGGATTCTATTTCTATCTATGCTTCTGATTCATGGTTTTGAAAAGACATCCTACCTAAGTATATGTCAATTTTCCCTCCTGTTAAGTACAGTAAGAAAAACAAAACTGCTTCTGGTGTTACAACATTTAATTAAGGATTGTCATTTTCTGATGAAAGATCCTATCATTAATGCTCTTATTTTCTTCAGCGGTGGTCATAATTTTTAAAAAGCAAATGGACCCAGTAACTCAGCTCTATACTATGACTTCATCCCTGGAGTACAAGTCAACCAAGGCTGACATACAAATGCCATTCACCTGCTCTGTGACATATTATGGACCATCTGGCCAGAAAACAATTAATTCTGAACAAGCAGTCTTTGATATTTACTGTAAGTAACTCAATATATAATTTTGTAAATTTTAAAGTCCCTATCCAAATTCTCAATCCAACACCCTACCCTGATTCTTCATTACCCAAATAATCTCTTCCTCCCGAAGTGCTTCAAAGATGGAAAGAATAAATGCTTTTCCACCTTATAAAATATTTCACTCTCTAGTTAAGAATGTTTCTTCTGTATTCTGCTAGATGCTATGTTCTTTAGAGTTAAGATCTCTAACTTACTCTGATCCGTTCTGGTAGTCCTCAGCCCAAACACATATCTCTGGATATTGTAGGAATTCAAAATGCCATCTGATGATTTTCTGAATGAATGACAGATAAATAAGAGGCTTATGATTGATTAGTCTGGTTTCCAATGATAGGCAGTTTCCATTTTAATGAAAAAATTGATTTTAATAATGAGATCAGTTACATAAGTTTAAAAAGGATGTTGTATCCCAAGATGTTTTAGTTGACTTTATTTCATAGATTTTAAACACAGAATATTAGACTAAAAAGGAAGCTTCTTGATCATCTGATTTAACTCCATTATTTTACTTAGCAGCAAAATGAGGCCGAGAGATTTTCTCTAAATTAACCACAGAGACTGGGTTAGAATTCTTTTCTCAAATGCTATCCTCTTTCCCGTAGACAGCCGCCAAGATAATCTAATGATTTGGAGCAAACATGCTGGCCATCTAGTTCCAGGGCTAGCAATTACTGTGTGTTTCTAGAAGAGTAGCTTAACTACATTATATCCCAGTTTTCTTATCTTGAAATGGGAAAACTATGATATTTAACTCATAGTGTTGTTTTGGAGATTAAGTGAACTCACAAATCTAAAATAGCACACTACATCGCACATTAAATGGTCATTATTAAGTACGATTGCCATTGTTATTATATGATTATTACTGTATAATATAGAGCTAGACATAGATTTTTGGGAAAAATGCAAGAGAGAATTTTTTAAATGAATAAAAAATTCTTGTAATAATATCATGTGTAAAATAACCTAGTACTTCTATATTTTGGAAAAAAGGGCAGAAATGCCAGTTGAGCCTTTGGAAGGTTTTTGTTCATCTACATCCTATTTTTGTCATTTAAAACATGAATCTTATGGAGGAACAAAACTGAAATTCCACTTGCTCTAACAATAAAATGTTGTTTTGACTTAAACTTTGTAAATAAGTCTCAACTTGATTTAAAGGTGAGGATTTAGAGGATTTCATTGTGTATAGCTTATCTGAAGTCAAGCTTTTATTTCTGTAAGTGAAGGCAGAATTCTTTCTCTTCAAAATATTCAATTGGAAATAAACTATCTTGGCATAAGTGCAGGAGAACAAGATAGAAAAGAACATCAGTATGAGTAATAAGGATTGAAAAATTGGCTTAAGAAAGAACAGGAATGTATGTGGATGTCAGGCATGAGGAGTTGGGTGGGCAGAAAAGTGTTCAGATGAATAAGAAGGAAATGATTTTACTGTGGCTGGTTGAGTGGCACAGCTTTTGAGAAGGCACAGTGAATGCCATGTTGGCCTTCCCGGTGAAGACACAGAAGTGTTAAAGTCATAGTCCTGACATTCAAGGAGTTTCCTTCTCCAGTACAGAAATAAGACCTACATCAGAAATTGTCAATGCAATGTTGTGAGTAGTAAGTGACACAGGAGCTAAGTGAACAGTCCTACAAGCTCAGGTTCCCAAGGACAGGGATCTCAAACTTGAGTGTGCATCAGAATTATCTGCAGGGCTTAGAACACACATTGCTGGACCTGTGCTAAAGCTTCTCATCTGGGTGGTGTGTGGAGGGGCCCACCTTGAATTTATAACAAATTTCCTGATGATGCTGATGCTGCTAATCTGAGGAGCACACCTAGAGAACCAAAACTTCAGAGCAGAGGAGAGAGCTAAGTGGAAATGACAGAAGAGTACATTCAGGAAAAGGAAAATTATTGAATTCATCCTGAGAAAGCTTGAGAAAGATGCACTAGCCCACTCTTTCCTTACCCTATTCAGTCAGTAATGCAGCTGTATAGAATCTAGCTCTTTAATCTTTGTGTTTATCTGATTCTGCCTCCTGACACTAAGATTATGTCATCATTCTTTATTGTCTGTATTTCCGTGGTGAATTCCCAAATAGTATTCCTGTCTGTTCACTGCAAACTGCCCTCCAAGCTGCTGCCAGGAATATTTCCTAAAACATAAATGTGACCATGTTAGTGCTGTGATTAAAATTCTTTAACAACTCTCCAGATCTCTCAGATTAATCTTCACATTACTGATCTTAACATGCCTTGAATCTCTTGTAGCTATGGTCCTGCACTATGTCTCAATCTTTATCACTTTACTCTACCTTCTAGAGTCTGTTGTATTTTCCAGATTCCTTCTATAGAACACTACTTTCATGCTTGTCCATGTGCACTCACTACTTTACCTTTATTATCTAGCAAACCACTTATTCTTCAACATTCAGCCAATTTTTACTGGATGCTTCCCAGTCTTCTGCATCTATAAGCTACCAGTGATCATTGTGCTTATATCATATTGCAGTTTTATGTTGTTATAGCCTTAATTGTTAAGTTTGATGTCATCATAAATAGACTGAAAGTTCACAAAAGGCTGTTTCCAGCTATGTAACTCCAGCATTTAGTGCCTACACAAAATAAATATTAACTAAAACAAATGAGTACATGATTGTACAGAAGAACACTTGGAGAGATGGGAGGAAGAAAATTTGAGTAGACTCTTTTGGTTATTATGTAGGGGTATATATAGAGAGTAGTGAGATGTAAAATTCTCACCTGACATAAAGTCAATTATGGATATCAGATTAAGAAATTTTATTTCAATCATTACTTATTGACAATGTGTGAAGATTTTGAATATCATTGTAATGTTCAAAGCACTACTTCAGGAAACTGGTTTAGAGGAATTCATGTGAAGGAGTAGAAAGGAGGAAGAGTCAGGATGAGAGACTGAACAGAGACTGGCAGTGTTTCAGAGGTAGGTCAATTAGAGCCTGGACTGCAGAAGTGTTCATGGGAATAGAAGGGGAGAATCAGGTACAAAATGCATTAAGTATTCATAATTAAGACTTGTGGTGCTGGAGTGGATAAGAGAGGGAAAGGAGAAAGTCAGGGTAACTGGCAGAGTGATGATTTATTAATAGAGTAAGATTCAAAGTCAGGGGCAAGAGGAGAGCATGAGATCATTAATTTTGTTTGAGGCATGTTAGCAGACATCCAGAAAGTTACAGTTAAAACTCAGATGTGTTATATTAACAGCTGATTTCAGTTTAATTCTTCAACTATCTAACACAGAGCAGAGCCTATTGACAAGGAGACACAGAGAAGGAAGTTTTGAAATAAAGAAGAAAGTGAGACAAATTATAATTGTTCACTGTTCTGGTATCAGCTTTGATCAAATGTTGTCACAGTGATGCACCGCAGGCCAAAAGTAATCAGAGAAGGGTCATGTGAAAGTGAGGGAGGCCTAGAAATGAAGGTTAGTAGGGGACCAAGAACAAACTTTATTTGCTTTCCAACTTTATTGGGAATGCTGGTCAGGGATCTACCTCAGGCACATTCAGAACAACTAAAAAGAACCAATCACTATTTAGCTTCAGAACATTCTGGGCAAATATTCAGAGATGCCCAAGCATGAAGAAGAGACAAAGAAACAATCTATAACAACCCTTCTAAGTTGTTTTCTGTAGTTTAATCATAGAAAGGTAAACAAATGACTATAAGAGATGGAAAAAACCTCCAAATCTAGCACTTACTTGTTTTGCTTTATTAGTTAGTAAGAAAAAAAGTCTTCACAGATCAATTTTGGTACTACCAGTTTGGAAATATCATTGAATAACATGCCTCAATAGTTATTAAGCCTTACGGAAAATGTTCTGAAATAAACCTTAGCATCATATGATTTTGGGATTCATTGTTCAGTGTTATCCAGTTGTATAACAAGTGGATACATTAGAAAGTGGATCCTTTATAACTGTCAAAACATCTCCTTTTAGTACCCCTTTGCTAAATGTGGTCTAATATATCCAGCCTTTAATTTGTTAAGCATTCATTGTTGAGCAGTAGCTTCCACTAAAGATATCCACTTGCTCTACTTCAGGCTATGATCAAGAATGGTCAAAATGGACAAAAATAACCAAAATGGAATGAAAGTTGCACTTGGCTCCAATGAACAGAACAGAATTACAATACATTTACAGTCCTGTTGATTGTTTTAAGGGTGTCCCTTAGTTCATGGGATTTATCTTTTTGAAAGCCGATCTCCTTTCCTGCATGCCAAAAATCTTGCAGGTGCTGTTTAGCTCATGCCTCTGTTTATTTAATATAAGGTATTATTACATAATATGAGTTCAGGGGTGCCTAATAGCTTAAGCTACTTTGCTGGTTGATCCATATATGATTAATGCATCATATATATGTACAATTTATATGATATAATTAAATGTCCTTATAATGAAATCATACAGTGTCCTACTTCAGTTAAAGATATTTTGCTAAGAAGAAATTGATTTTTATGTAACAGGGTCTCATTGTAGTTTGCTCTAACTGAGATTAGTACTTAGTATAGCAGGTAGCTATTAACTTCAGTCCTTCTATAAAAAGATACATTTAAGTAATTACTATCTTCTTGACAAAATTATGTATAATTTAGTCGTTTACATTGTATGTACAGAGTAATTTGGTACTTGATGAAAATGGTTAACTTTTTCTATGACTTGCAGATCCTACAGAGCAGGTGACAATACAAGTGCTCCCACCAAAAAATGCCATCAAAGAAGGGGACAACATCACTCTTAAATGCTTGGGAAATGGCAACCCTCCTCCTGAGGAATTTTTGTTTTACTTACCAGTAAGTCCTGAAGAATCATTCCTTGAGTTAGACATGACAGATCCAAATTTGTGCCTTAGTCTTAGCGATAATATCAGGTGATTATCTTTTTTTGGCAATGTATACTAGTTCATCTGTTTTTTTTCTATTCTTAGTTCAATAATTATTTTTGTGTCTCTCTTTATAAAATCTCTTTCCCCTCTCTTTTCTCCTCCCTCTTCCCTTCCCTCTCTCCTTCCCTGCCTTCCTTCCTTTCTTTCTTTATTCCTTTCTCTCCTTTTTATTTGGATATAAGGCATTTTTTCTTTTGAGCTGCCTCCAGTCTTTTTTGTTGAATTAGGCAAGGCATAAATATAAAAACAAAGTATTAGAAAAGTTTTAAAAATTTGCCTCAACAGTCAAACACAAGTCATCCTGTCAATACAGCAGATGTCATCAATACAATTTAAATTAGCTCCTCAGTTTTCTTTGAACCACACAATCAATATTATCTTTCCAGACATCAGATTATACAAACTCTACTCTCATTTGTCCAATCGGAGAAGCACATTCCCTTTTTTTATTATCTGAGAAGATACTATTTTCATAAAAATATGCAACTGTTCTCATTGTAGTTACGAAGTGTAATCATCTGATATTTTGACTCTATCAAAAGGGACAGCCCGAAGGAATAAGAAGCTCAAATGCTTACACACTGACAGATGTGAGGCGCAATGCAACAGGAGACTACAAATGCTCCCTGATAGACACAAAAAGCATGATTGCTTCAACAGCCATCACAGTTCACTGTAAGTCACCTTATTCTCCATTATCAGCTTCTCTTTAACAGCCTCTAATAGTCTACCTGGCTACCTTTTCAAATAAATTACAGCTGTATTTTTCTTAAATAATGTAGTTTCAGTAGACTTACTGAAGTGCACCACAGCAAACTCAACTTTGGTCCAGATTTGCCCTAAAATATGGAAATATTGAATGAATCTAATAGCTTTATCTTTTAGCAGTAGTAAACTAACATTTTCTTTCTAAATGTCCTTAGTTTGTGGTGTGAACAAAATATTCACATGAATGTTAAAGAAATAGCTCATTTGATATTTTAAGAAAATATTCAGATATTCTTCAAGTTCACAAGGTTTGCATTTGGCCCAGAAAAGTATAGATGAAACATTTTTTTCTTTATCATTATTATTAAGAATAATGTTAACATCTAAACCCAAGCAACACAAAGTCACTGCAGACTCAGCTTTTGGAAGCAGAGGTCAAGACCAGTAAAAGCCATTTATTGACCTCTATGTAAAAAGCTAGAAGATTTCTGAACAGAATCTCTTCAGAATCACCCTGAACATACCTATGTGTTATCTTTTAACCTGCTTTTGATCTCCAGATACTCCAAAAGTTCTAGGTACTCCAGTGTGATAGAAAAAGATACATAAAGAAGAGACACTTTACTTTAATGCTTTATTTTTTAATTCCTGACAGTCAGTGTTATTGATGTACCTGATGAATCATTGAAACAAGAAACCAATCTGAACTGTTACCCCGTGACACTGGAATTCACAGAGGGCATTGGGCAAATGTCAGTCTTGCCTGGAGGAGTAGGCCAAGGTTTCTATTAAGGCCTTTGTACCCAACAGCACCTCAAGATATGCTCTGTTATAAAAGGTTTCTCCAGACCTGATCCACTATAATTCCATTGAGTATGAGGACTTTCTTTCTTTCAAAATAGAGGCTCTAGAAATTGTTTTGAAGAAATGGTTCTAAATTTTTCATTCCTGGAAAAGATGTGGGATAGAAGCTAAAATTTTGATGGAGATACAAGGAGGTGCATGGGGGATGGAGTAACCAAATGGTTGCTTTTGAGTGTCTGATGTTGGGAGCACACTGTGGGGAGCCCTATTAAAACAATGGACTCAGGAAATGTTCACAGCCAGGCCATTTCTGTTCACTTCATATTCATGTTGCCCAGATCTGAGTGTGTCTGCCATCAAGAGCTAATTAGAAAGAAAGCAGTGACCTTTCAGGATAACAGCAATGCCACTTTTTCTGTAAGGATCAGCCAGTTATGGGACCATTTATACAGCCTGTTCGATTAAAAAAAAAAAAAATACTAAGGTGGAGGGATATAGCAAGCACAAAAAATTCCCTGTGGAAAATCTCTTGGTGTCATTGTCCATGAAATCCTTGGAAAATAACCAATAATCTAGTGCTTATATATGGTATGATGAACTTATGTTTAAGAGATACTAGCTACTAAGGATGCTAAAAAGAAAGTCCCTGTATTTGTATTTGTAGATCAAGCAGAGGGTGGATAGATAGCAGAGTGATAAAGCCAAAGACTTGGCTACAGCCACTTAGTACCTCAACAATAAGCTGTGATAAAGGAAAAAAATAACAAAAGCATGTAACAGTTTAATTAGATTTCAGTGCATTTAACTGGATTTAAATACATTTTAGTTTTCAAGACTATAGGGCTTTTAGGGCCTGTATTGCTCTTTAAAGGCTGAAATATTACAAATAAATCAAGATTTTACTCTAAATTACATGAAACAAAAACATAAAAGTCCTGTTTTTGCCCATTTATCCTTGACTGCTTGTTTGTTTTCTGAAAACAAGATTTGCTCCCTTTCCATAGATGGCTAAAAGGGAGTGTGGGTAGAGAAGCACCAAGATGTACTTGTACATGTTTTCAGCACAGACTTCCCATCAAGGCTTTCAGCCCACAGATCCATAGTTGCTGAAGCAATGTCTACTATTCTTCTGCCAACACATACAGATTCTTCATCAAAACTTCCGAAGTCTGTCATCATCTTTTAAAATCACTTCTTGTACCTTCTCATTATTAGCAAGTTAACTGCCTAGATAATAAAAGCTTCCACTCACCTTGAATGGAATTTTTATCTAAATAAAATTTGCCCATATAGTCTGAGAAAACTCCACTTTTCTGTGTGATATTGAATATTTTAATCGTAATGAGAAATTGTGAAAGCCTACTTCTTTTCTTCATTCATTCAACCATAGTTTTGGAGAGCCTCCCATCGGGCACTGTGGCTACACTGTGATGACTCAAATCCCTGCCTTCATGGTTTTACTGCCTAGCAGGGGAAATGAGTATTAAAAATGATACTGCAAACCATCAACAAATCGCAATTATAGCATGTAAAACCAAAGAGAAGCACAGGACACAACAGCAAATCCCCACTGTAGAGAATGAGTCCCAGCTCTTAGTGTGGCAAGCACAGTCCTTGATATTCTGGCTGCAGTGAATTGTATAGGTTTTTCTTCCGTGTATTATAACCATTCACAGCAGACTACTCACCACTGTGAAATTTGCCCAGGTCTCTCACCGCTTTGCCTGCTTATGTGGCAGATTTCTTTGTATCTCCACTTACCAAAGCCTTTCTCAACCATTAGAAACCACAACAGATACTGACTTCTATACAAAACCTTTATTACTGCTATGAAACTAAGTTTGGCCCTGTTCTGTATACTCTACAAGTCTTTGCTTTTACCTCTTTAGCCTTAGCCCTTCCTTTAGCTTTTCAACAAATATTTGAGCCCCTAATCTATAGCACATTTGCTACTCCATGCTGATTTCATGCTGCTGTGTATTATAGTCACATAGTTGAGTGCACAGTTCCTCTACCTCAAAAATTGTAAGTTGTAAACTCATGATTCAGCTCTTTATCTCCCATCACTGTTTGGAACATAGTAGCTGTACAACAAATGTTTGTTCTATTGAATTGGATTTTCCTCACACAGATCATACTATGGCAGTGATTCTTATAGAAATTACTTTGCATCTGAAAGATTACACCTTCTTAGATGTGTTTCTACTCAATTTTTTAAAAATGTGATCTGCTGACAGTATACCTAACAACAGATCTTATTTAAAATTTCAACTGCATGATAAATGGAATAGCATTTTAAAAATACCTAACTACTAGAGAGAATTCTTTTTGAAGAAACACATAAACTCTCTCATGGTTTTTCAGTTTATCACCTGCTATCTAAATATACCTGATTTTGCTATGGTGAGCCTTACCAACTCTTTTTATAATATTTACCTAGTCATAATCTTTATTTTCTTCCAGAAGTGATTTAAGAATTTTTTTCCTTCAAGTTACAGACCCTAGGAGAACACTTAAATGCAGTCAAAATATCAGTCATGATAACTGGAAATAAATGCTTAACCAATTAGATTGACCATTCACTTGTCCACACTGATCTCAAAACTGGCTTGAAAAACTAGACTGATTATGCTGCAATTCAGTTATTTCAGTCACATAATCAGTTCTGAATTTCAAGTGCAATTAGAAGGATTTTTTTCTTCATCTTCTCTTCTCCAAAATACTTTGACAATCTTATTTTCCTGGAGTTTGCATTCAATCAGATTTTCTGCTTCACAGATTTGGATTTGTCCTTAAGCCCAAGTGGGGAAGTGACCAAGCAGATTGGTGATGCCTTGCCTGTTTCATGCACAATATCTGCTAGTAGGAATGCGACTGTAGTGTGGATGAAAGTAAGTAATAGTCCTTGATAATATTTCATTGTTTGGACTGATCCCTTCTTATACTTCTTTTGTGTTTTATATTGTATCAAATAAGTGTTCTCATGGGTAATATGTTTCTATACCTACACTCATACTCTCTTTCTCTACATCTAATATAAATCATGCCACAGTGAAACTTCAGAGATAATCAACAGCACTATGACATCCATAATCAATACTTAATTGGAACTTAGTTTGGGGAACTGATTTAATTATATGTATATACTAAGTAATTAGGTGCATACACACATGTGCATAGACCCACGCATATACTGTTATATACATTAGGGCTTAACAATTTTTAGTGTGTTTTAACCCACATTGTTCTCCCATGACACTTAGGACAACTCTGTGAAATATGTAAGACATTTATTATTTCCCCACAGTATTCATAAAGAAGTTGAGGCAAGAGCAATCAGAAAGTTCATAAGTGACAGAGTGGTAAATTGAGCTTAGGCCTTACTGAGAGTGAATACTATGCTCTGCTCATGACTTTCAGCCTCTGCTGAAACTGATCTTAAGTGTCTGAATATGGGTTCCACTGAATCAGTAGTTCTTAAAGGTAGAGATCTCCTTTCGCCCCTGGGCCATACATAGTAGAACACCTGAAACATGCTAAGAGCTTAGTATTTCTGAGTGAGTGCTTATATTGGAGTTTTCTGAAATGTAAGGCATTACTGGGGACCCAATCATTGGTGTCTTTTTTTAGAGTAAGAAAGGATTGGTAATTGCTGATTTGAGACAAGGTTATCAGCACAGGGAAAGGTGTAACTTTCGTCATTCCACTCAAATCCTTGACTGTATATTGAACACTTGGGTGCCTTTATTACCAGAACATGGCATATGCCAGGAGCACTTAACCAGTGATGTGGTGACAAAACACATACAACCTATATGACATAGGGGTTGACAAGAATTACTTTTATAAAAACTGGTGGAAAAATCTATTGTTAGGGTTTTTTTGATGAAAATATCTAATTTTGTATTGCTTGTTGATCACTTTTAATGTTAGGTCCTCTGTGATTTGCCCTCTTATTCTGATAGCTGTTTCTTTTTTTCTCTCTTCACCACAGCCTCATCACAACTTCTTTTTCACTCAGTAGACTGCATATTTAATATGATATATTTCTAGTAGTCAGTGGTAAAAGGACTAGGCAAGTTCTAGGCGACTAAGCTATTCAATAATCATGTGAACACTCATGGTGTATATTTCTACAGGATTTGAGAAACTAAGTTTATTTGGCTAAATGAGTTTGTACTCCAGTCACTGTAGTTAGCTGAATACCTAATGTCTGGAGTGATGATCAATATTGCCTGGCCATTGTTTAGTTGATGGGAAGTAGAAAAAAATTCATAGTGGAGAAAAACCACATAATCTTAGGGTTGTGTTTAGTTGTCTGCTTAGAAGCATTTCAATTCCCAGTAAAACATTATTTTCTGTATGTGCTTTTTTAAAAATTAAATGCTACATTTCCTTTGTTCATAGATATTAGGATTAGTAAGTGGTTACAATGTTTCTTAAAAAAACATTTGGTCATAATCGCCATGGCTTTGTATTGGATACCCTGTTTTGTACTGTATCATGTAAATGACTGTCAGCCATTTATAGCCGTAATTTATTATGTAGTGCAAATCTCCAGTGTCTGTCAATCCTAGTTCATCTACATTTACTACAAGGAGTAGTCACAAATTACATAGTTATGAATTGAGAACTTTCCTTAATGTTAAAACATTATATTATTTATATAATTAAGTCCTCATAACAGTTCAATATAGTAAGATTATTACTCCATTTCACAAATAAGGAAACAGTCTCAGAAGTTTATGTACTTGTTCCAAATTGCAAATTCAGTAAGCAGAAGAGTATTAAATAAAAGTGATACGTCTATCTCTGAAACTATGTAAGGAAAAGGAAATCAATTTTTGAAAACATCTAAAGTTAAGAAAAAGAAACTTTCATTTTCATTAGACTCAGGGGAATAATTTAGTTTTCATTATTATCTAATAAATACATTGAGAGATATAATTGTGCCATGTGAAGTAATTAACTTTTTATTTAATCAGGATAATATCAGGCTTCGATCTAGCCCGTCATTTTCTAGTCTCCATTATCAGGATGCTGGAAACTATGTCTGTGAAACTGCTCTGGAAGAGGTTGAAGGCCTAAAGAAAAGAGAGTCATTGACTCTCATTGTAGAAGGTAACAAAACACTTAGCATCATTTTGAATTATTTTTCTTGGAGAATTTGACACTTGGATTATTTTATGATCTCAGTTCAACACATTATTTTAATTGTGATGATATTTTAGGAAAACCACAAATCAAAATGACAAAGAAAACTGATCCCAGTGGACTGTCTAAAACAATAATCTGCCATGTGGAAGGTTTTCCAAAGCCAGCGATACAGTGGACAATTACGGGCAGTGGAAGTGTCATAAACCAAGCAAGTATTTGTCTTCCTGTTACATGCTGCACTTGGTCCATTGTGGGGTTTTATTTAGGTACCTAAACTATAGGCTAACTGGTCAGTATCTTGAAATTTGCTGTTTACTCTAGGGAGGCTTTTGCTAACTTCTTAATTTTCACAAAGGAAGAACATGGCTCAAAGAGAAATTTTAAATTCCAGGGCCAAAGAGAATGAAAAAATCATTATGTTGTGGTCAGTATCTGTTTTTAAAGGAATGTAAATTGCGCATTGTTCCAAGGTCACTAATTCCTGAAATTTGGGTGGGTAAAACATTAAGGTATACACTTTTCTGCTTCATAAACTTACATATCTGAGTGTAAGTGTATTACTTTGCTTGTTTGTGCACATTAAGGGATATTTCTTCTTAAAACCTGGCCCTGGAATGTGGTAAAGAACACATTCACTTTTTGTGAACATATGGTCTGACTGGTGTGTGCCACAGCTAGGGCCAGAATAAAGCTAGCTGGTATATAGTGTCTAGGATGTTTCCTTCTCAACAAAACTAGACATAAACCAAACCCTGGTATCTGTACCTTTGTCAGGATATATTATTAATAGTAAAGGGCTAAGAACTTATGAATGTTACCAATAATTTTCTCTTTGGTAAAAAAAAAAAAACAAAAGAAAAAATGAGAATCTGGACTGTCACTAGATTCAGAGCTGTAATCCCACTAAATTGCCTGCTTGCTTGGGTTACTTTCATATTTACTCATTTCATTTTATCCAAAACAGTCTTGATATCTTTCTTCTCAGAGGAGCCTGTTAGAGATTCTTCAGGAACACCCAGAGGTTCCATTTGATTATCTCAATCTTCTGTGCTGCCTTCTTCCCAGCTTTGGACCCCGCTGAAATCTGAGAAGGCATGCATAAAGCAGAGTTGCAATTTAGTTTTAAGTTAAATATCTATTCTTTCTCCGTCCAAGATAGTTGGGCCACTGGTCTAGCTTGTGCAATGTGGTTTTGCAGATCATGTTGAATTTTGGCTCTTCCACCTATGGCTTATGCTTATATATTTGCATAATTCCAAGTACAGAAGGTCCCCCAAAGGAATGGGCCCTCTTGAAATGACCCCTGATTTGATTAGATGTGATGGGTACACACAAGTAAGAGAGTATGTACAAGGAGGGCAGAGAGGCCCGAGGCCACTTAACTCTAAGGAAATGCAGCTGTCTTAATTTGGAATAACGACCTGAACTACCTAAATTGCTGACAATGTATAGATCTATATTTTAGCACCAAACTGTTTGATTTCTGTTCTTTTGCTCTCTGGTTCTATTAAGTAGTAATTACAGCAGAAAAAAACGAACCTTTAGTTACTGGTAATACAAGCATAGAAAATGGAAAAATAAGCAGATAATAGCTGATGAATGAAAAGAAACAGATTTTTAAAGGCCATCCTAGAAACGTGCAAATACATTTTGTAGAGATAAAAGTAACAAAAACAAAGTCTCAGTGAAAAAGGCTTAATGTGAACTTACTATGAGGATAAAAATAATACCATTCTTCATTGTCAGGGAGAAGGATTGATACTGGCCCACTAGGTGATATGTTATTTTTCTAGTTCTAGATTTATGCTGACCCATCCATAATCTTTTATTTGTTCTCTCTTCACCTGGTGAATCTATTATTTTTCAATTACTGATAACTCTACCCCACCCCTTCCCCACGGACTAGATGATATCCCTAAACTTGAATCTAGCTCTTGTCCTCAAGGCCCTTACAATGTAATCGAGGAGAAAGCAAATAGAGAATAGTATAGGACATGGTGTATATTAATGTGACTCAGAAAAGAGGACAAGTACATATTCACTTTAGTTGGGCTGGGTTTAGCTGTCAAGTTCTGGAGAGGAGATTAAAGTGAATTATCTCTTATTTTTGGAGGAATTAAATGTACTGATTGTTCTCATTAACACCTCATACAAACTAAATGAACTAACCAGTCATGAAAAGGAATGTATCTTCTGTATTTAGCTCAGGAAAATTGAGAAAAAATAGTTTGATTTTCTGATGAGCAAATCATGCATACATACACACGTAGATACAGTGGTTTCTAAGATAAAGGAATTAAGCACTACAGTGCTATAATTTACAGATAATAACTAAATTCATAAGTTTATTAAGAGAAAATTAGTGACTAGTAACCACTAATTAATTATTTTGACACAAATATTATCATGCCAAAATAATAACTAACCCGAGCATCAATGGAAAAGAGGAGCTTAATTAAATTATTAGAATTTACAGTAGCAGCATAAATAGAAATTCAATTATGGACCCACTAATCTTTTTTCCCCCTGCTGTAGATATTACCAGAATTGGTCTTTACCTATGACCTTTCATATACCCTTTAACAGATAGCACTACAGCGTACCACACCTAGCCTATTTCATTCAGTATTATTTATTGTTTTTCCATGTTTTTAAATCCATTTCCATTTCTGAATCCATTTTCCTTTTTCTTTTCCAGACAGAGGAATCTCCTTATATCAATGGCAGGTATTATAGTAAAATTATCATTTCCCCTGAAGAGAATGTTACATTAACTTGCACAGCAGAAAACCAGCTGGAAAGAACAGTAAACTCCTTGAATGTCTCTGCTAGTGAGTATTTCATTTCTGGCATTAAAAAAAGTAAGAAAATTTGAAGTTATTCTTCATTAGTTTAAAATCTTCAATTCCATCTTCCTGTACTACATTATGGTAAGTTTTATTTATTTATTTTGCATTTGGTACCATCATCATAAGGTTTTGTTTTGTTTTGTTTTCCCTGGTGTCCATTCTTGCACTATCCTTGTCTTGACAGTTAAATCATTTCATGTGTTATGGTTAGAGACCTTATCTCATACTGGAATGTGAGATATTCCTGCATATAGGAATATTTTACATTCCAATTATTTGTGGTATTGATGCTACAGTTATTTTGTGCAGGAATGCCACATGTTTAAAGTCATTTAGCAAATTAACAGTAAAACTGATATTAAAATTTATGAAATCTTTTTCAAAAATTGATGCTTTTGAATATCATACTTAAGTCTTAGCTAAAAATCAGATAAATGAAATTATCAGAAAATGTGAAAAAAATCTGTCAATGCTGAAATCAGTAATAATACATACCAATAACAGTTTCTTCTGCAAATAATTATCATTTAATTTGAAATTATCAATCATCTTCAATTCTGTCATTTTTCCTATTTCTATGTCAACCTTCAATTAGCACTGGCCTAGAGTGAGGCCTGGGTCTGGATAGGATGCTAACTGACCCTCAAAACTTTTATTCTTTAGTCAGTTGGAAATCCTGTATGTGACATTAGCAAGATAGGGACATACTGGCTAGGAGTTAGATGGAGCTAGGGAAAAATAATTGTCTGAAGATAATGGTCCTAAACAGAATATGACTAGAATATAAAAACCTGACGGATTGACAGGAGAAAAGAACCAAACAAATTTAATTCTAAAATAGGAACATTGACATCTCAGAATTCAATTTAGGGAGTATTGATTTTTCCTACCTAGAAAGAGAACTTATCCCTTCTTTCTGAACACAAGTCTCTCTTTTAATTATAACCCATTGAATAGTGGTTTCGTAGACCTTGCAGTGGCTTGATCCACATTTAATACAGTAATTTTCAAATTGAGTAATCACCTTCTGAAATTCCAACACAGTATGTATGAGGAAGGTCTGCAAATCTGCATTTTAACAAACATCACTGCAAGTTCTGATGCAGGCTCCATGCACATAGGAAATAGGTATGTAGTTTAATATTCGATGGTGATTCTTTTGGGTCAGGAGCACGGCTCTATTAGAGTCATTTGGAGGGTTTTTGCAAATATCACATATTTGGCCTTATTGCCTCTGAGACATCCCCAGTTTTAACCTGCACCCCCAAGACTTTGAGAACATCTCTAGTGGTAAGTCCCTGACAGTAGAGTTCTCCCTCACTGAAAGCGAGTTCTCCCTCACTCAGGTAGGTAACTAGAGAAAATTTGAGAAACACTGCATTATAGGTCTCATATGTGGCAACTTGTTTCTCTTAAAAAATAGTTCTAGTGACAGGTGGTAGATAGTGGGAAAATTAATATGGATTTCAGGTTAATACCATAGCTTGTCAGTTGTGAAATTTTCTATGGTAGACTAATACAATTGCAGTTTTAACTACTCTCCTTTCCTTAAAACATTATTAATTTCTTTGTAGGGAGGTTCATGCTCTATTAAATGTACATTATTTTCTACCATTAGCTGTAGAATAGATATTTTATCTTTGAGTATTATTACATCATACTATAATGGTAAAGGTGACTTTCATATATCAACAAATTTTGTTTTTAATTTCATATTAACATTTTTCATTTCAGTAAGTATTCCAGAACACGATGAGGCAGACGAGATAAGTGGTAGGTACTATGCTGCCGACTCTCCTTCCTTGACTATCAGCTCAAGATTTATGAAGTGTCATTGTATAAGTAATTTGCTTAGCTGCCAGAATTTTTACTTGAATTAAAATAGCAAATGAGACAAGACAGTAAGATTGCTAAAAGTTTATCCTTTAAAAGCACAAGTTTGCATGTTACTCATAATAGTGAGCCTTAGACATTTTTAATAAAAAACAGTTAACTAGATTTGACTTCAGAAATCCTTGGCATTGTCTGTAATTGCATGGACTTTTTTTCTTGTTGTAGATGAAAACAGAGAAAAGGTGAATGACCAGGCAAAACTAATTGTGGGAATCGTGGTTGGTCTCCTCCTCGCTGCCCTAGTTGCTGGTGTCGTCTATTGGCTATACATGAAGAAATCAAAGTAAGTTGTGGTTCTTCATTGACTTTCACTGGGAGAAACTGCAATGGATTAATTATGGTCACTTCAGCTGGGCATGTAAATTCCCTAGTAGAAAAGACAAATCCCCCAAATCAGGTTGTTCATGTTTAGCTCACAGTGACTACATTGCCAACATTGGGGTCGTGGCTTGGGGTGTGATTTCACATGTGTCCCCTTATTTTTTCTGTTAATAGTCTGAATTGAAATATTTGATTTTTTTTCAATGTCTATGTGGACTTTTAAAAAGCATATACTGTCTAAAGGTCATCCGTTCTAAACCATTTGACTAAGGTTGGTGGAGATTAATTAAAAGGGATTAGTCTGGCTAATAGTGAAAATGTTGATGAGGTGAAATTATCTTATCACTATACTTTATTCTAGTTAGATCACTTTGCTCTACAGAAGGATCTAATTCAGAGAAAAATTCATCATTATTTTGTCTTGAATTTTAAAACAATGACTAGACAAAGTACCAAGACTACTTTTAAAATGATTTAGAGGTATTTAGATTAACAATTATTACTGTAATAAAATAATACAGATAGTATCAACCTTATGAATCATCTAGCAGTGGTTTATAATGAAAATCTGATTAACCAATGAAGATTCTTAATATTACTGTAACTCCACAGGGAAAATATGTACCCAGTGCAGAGAAAATTACCTTTGAAGCCAAAATCAGTCAAAGGGAGAAATAAAGTGGGAGTAACCCATTTATTACTGACAAGAAATCATCCACTTCTGCTCGTAAATGTCTCTCTTGACACAGCTGCAAAAAGGGACCTCAAACAACCTCTCCAGCCCAGATCCCCCATGTAATCACCTATTGGTAGATGGACTACCTATCTCCACCCCTTGGAAACACCTATTGATGCAGAGATGCACTAAGGTCAGACTAGAGATTCTGGAAATATTGCAGTTTTACCCTCGGCCCACCCCTCCAGAAATCTACTAGCTCCCCATCTTCTGCAATGGCCCCTGTGTGAGAAAACTGGGACACTGTAGCAAGACCAATAATATGCAATAAAAACAGCAATAAAATCATGATAATCCTCAAGCCAGAGGATTCAGCTAGGTTCAAAGTCCTATGCAGATTAAGTCCATAGATGGCCCATACCACAGGTGCCAGTAACTGAATGGGTAGGGAGTTCAGATCACTCATTACGTGGCACCTGCAGCCTGGGGATGGGTCGAGACCACAGGACTGTAGAAGAAAATGACCTTAAGGGAGATAACATACATGTTTTAGTGACACCAGCATAGGCAAATATTGTCCAACAAGTAGGATGCATGCAAGAGAGTGGTCCTGTGCTAGGACAGTGGCAGGAATGGGATCTTGTCCTGGTCTAGTATAACAGACTTTCACCCCCCTCCCTGTGCTTTCACCCCCCTCCCTGTGGGAGGTCCAGAATGGGAGGTACATGCACTGGCCATAATGATAAAACAAAACTTCCCCGTAAGGTACTCTTACCTGCTAGACATTTTGGGTACACTACCATGATCTTTGGGGGTCACTCTGCTGTTACTCCAGGAACACACAGAAGCCAGCTTCCAGGCCTTTTCCCCAAGGTGTTAGAAGGGTCTGCCATTGCTGGTCCATGTGTCAAACTGTCCAGGGACACGTCCACTCAACAGAGTCTCCATGGTTTAATGCAGTTGGGGCTGGCAGCAGGATGTTGCTCTGCTGGCCATATACTAGCTTCAGTAACTCCTCTTTGGTTTGCACATACAGTTCTATAGGAGAGGCAGCAATGTGTGTTAGCATGTCCATAGGGCTCAAGGTTCCTTTTTAGGGCTTATTCAAACTCTGTAGCACTGTCCATAAGTGAACTGACCAGGCCCATAGACTGGTATCTGACTTCAGGCCATATTTCAACAAACCATTGTACTTCTTTATCCTGCCTGCTCCGGTAGGGTTATATGGTACATGAGACTTCCACTTTATTCCTCATTGCTGCACCAATTCTTATAACGTATGTCCACTAAAGTGGGTGCCTTGATCTCTCTCAATTACCTGTAGCTGGCCACTGGCTGCAGAGAGATGCTCTAGGGCCCTTTTGGTCATCTGCTGATCTGCATGACATGGAGGAAAAACAAGCAACAGTACAGTAGCTGTGTCCTCACAAGTCATGGCATACCAATATCCTGATATGGGCAGAGGCCCAATATCGTCTATCTACCACTTGACAAAAGGTATCAGCCCCTTTACTATTGTTGCATGTTGCTGCAGGACTTGGTGTAAGTCCCTCATAGAGCATACAAGGCACTCTGGGCTCTAGTAACTTCTTCAAAGATCAATGGCAAGCCCCACCAACAGGCTGCAGCCCACATTGTCTTTTGCCCCGCATGCAACAAACGCTGATATAACCATTGGGTTACATCAGAGACAGGCTTGCCTTCTAGCCAACACACCTGGGCCAATGTGTCTGCTTCATCATTCCCTGGGGATGCCAAAGACAAATGGACAGTAACATGGTCCATGGTAACTGCCTTAGTCTGACCAGAGGCCCATAGGTCTTGCCACAGCTTTTGCCCTCAAAGGGGCTAGTGACCAACCATCCCATTGGCATGGTACCATGTCAGTAACCACAGGGTCAAGCCCCAATAGATGGCCCAGCTGTCAGTGCAGACAACTATAGGGGAGGGCTCCTGGATGATCATGAGCCATACTGCCCACAACTCAGCCCATTGGCTGCTCTTCCCCTCTCCATCCTCCATCCATATTGTCTCAGTCTTAGGATGGAAAGCCGCAGCCCAACTTTGGGGGCTGCCCACAACTGGAACTGTCTGTAAACCAAGCATATTCAGGGATAGGAGCTTTCCCTCCTGATAAGGACTCTCAGCTACCAATGGTTCAAAAGCAAGTTCTTCCTCCTTTCCACTGGTATACGTCTCAGGCCCCAGTAAGCATTGGAACTCTCCACTAAAGGGGCCATTGGAGAGGGTGCTATGCTGCTGTAAATATGCACCCATTTGGCCAGTGTAGGTGTATGTGCCATGCCACTCTGTGGATTTTGGGTCCAGTCCTGCACCCACCCCGCAATGGGACAGGTGGTTATGACCTTGGTTGGAGCTGTTATGGTGCAGGACTCCATAACCAGCAAGGCGTGGTACATAGCAGCCAGTCACTTCTCTATCAAGGTGTACCAGACCTCTGCTTCTTTCCATAGTTGTGACCAGAGTTGAATAAGTTGGTGTGTCCATTCAAGTTGTTGCCAAAAACACCATCCATAAACATCTTCAGTTACATGAACATCTAGCTCACAGGGCCTTGATGAGTCCGTTATACTCAAGGCCTGTACAGCCTTGCTTGCTTAGCAGCATAAAAGCAGCTGTGCATGTTTCATCCCAATCCCACCTGATGTCCTTTCATACCAACTGGTATAAGGGCTTTAGAATTTGTGCCAAGTGTGGGATAACCACTCTCCAGTAGCCCAAAAGACCCAAAAACTCTTGCACTACTGCCACAATGGGGGGTGGGGAAAGCCTGGCCCTTGTCTGTGACTGCTTCTGGGATAACTTTAGTTTTACCTGACCAGTCAACCCCCAAGAGCTTTATAGACAAACCAGGTCCCTGAACCTTGCTGCTGTTCACAGCCCATCCTTTCTCCTTAGATAGTGCAGCAGTCTAGGGACTTCCCCTTCTAAATATGCTAGAGAAGCAGATGTGAGCATATGCCAAACCATTTGCATTTTCTTCCATGTGGCCAAGTTCTGGGCTGCAAGTCCATGACCAATGGTGGGACTGTGGTGGTATCCCTGTGGAAGGACAGGGAATGTCCACTGCTGGCCTTCCATGTGAAGGCAAACTGTTCTTGACTTTCCTGTGATATGTCAATACAGAAGAAAGCATTAGCAAGGTCCACAATATAATGATACATCCCTAGTTCATGACAGACCATGTCCACAGGGCTATTATAGAGGTGACAGCAGCATGCAAAGGGGGTGTGACTTTATGCAATTCCCTGTAATTCATGGTCATGGACCAGGAGCTGTCTAGCTTTTTCCCTGGTCACACTGGGGAATTAAAAGGACTATGAGTGGACTTTATGATGTCCACCTTCTCCAACTCCTCTGAGTTTCTACAACTTCTTGTGTCCTCCGGGCAATTTATACTGCTTAGTATTTGTCACCTGCTGAGGTACAGGCAGAGCTACAGACAGGTGCTGAGCATGTCCCCTTAGAACTGCCTTTACCACATGTACCCTCAGTCTGAACTCACTTGTAGTGGTCAATAACCACAAGCCCTGCAGGACATTGACTCCCAAAATATATTCAGGGATGGTAGAACTGTACACACTCTATTCCTTTGGGAGTAAACATCCTATCCCCAATGGGATTTGGGGTTTCTTTGCTCTAATTACCTTACCCCCATAGACAATTATTACAGCAGGGGTCCAGGAAAATGCTCAGGGTTGCCACAAATCAGAGAACATTCAGTTCCTGTTTCCACCAGCACCAGTATACATTGTACATTCATGGAGGACCAACGAATTGCTAATTCTGCATGTGGCCTCCGATCCCCAGCATGTCTCCCAAGATGGGGGCCTTAACCCTCCCCCCGCCAGTCAAACCATAGTGCCCAATCGTCCTCCTTTAGGGATGAGGGCCCAATGGAAGCCTGAGTACTGTTCCCCAGGAAGACTTGCAGGGACACAGGCCAGACATGGGGCTTTGACTCCAGCTTTTGTATCCTGGACCTCAGTGGCTGGGACTGCTGCTCTGGCTTCAGTTGGTGCCACAGTTCTAACAAGATCCTATTGGGCTGCCCATCAGCTTTTTCTTTCACTACCCCCACCTTTATCAAATCAACCCACATCTGAGTCCTCATGACCTTCACGGGGCCTTTTGCACCTCTCCTTTCAGTCGTAGCCTGTACTTCCTTCCCTGATCTTATTGTTTCAACCTCTCCCAGATCTGCTGAAGTACAAATAGCCTCTGCTAAAGTACAAATAGCCTCACTTATGGGTTGCCCTATGTGG